GGGACACTTCAGCATAAGCGATGTAGAATTAGGCTTCCAGAGACTCCTATAAAAATTCTATATAAATATAGAATTCTATCAAAATATATCAAATTTCTAAATACAACTATGCAAATGCTTAACTTCCCTACAGAGAAAGGTCCCGTGAAAGTTAAATTCAATGAACGGCTTGTCATAGAAAAGTTCAAAACATGCCACAGTGTTTGACAGATGGAAGTCAAGAAAAGAATTCAGGATGAGCCAATCCTTACATCAGCTGTCTGGACTTCTGCATGTTATAGAAAAGAGAGGGATGAACTATAGTTCACAACTCAGTCAGCATGCTATAAGCAATAGTTTGCAAAAGTTTTCAGATGTTTTCTTTGATTTGTAACTGCAAGCCACAGAGGTTAAGTATCTCGAGCACCACCAGAGGCTTCCTAGTTGAAAAGAACAAGCAGCAAGAGATAGCAATATGTACCGCTTTTCTGATGCCAGTTTCTCTGATGCTAGCTCTTCCCAGATTCTTCTACAGACCACAAATAAACAAAAAGAATCCAAACGTGTTTGTCAAGGAGCTGCTTCTCCTATGTGATGAAATCCTTTCACTCTTGATTTCAAAGCAGAATGCAACATTATGGGGCTGGACTAGCATGTTCCTACTTGCACTGTTTCACTAGAACTACAACTCAGATGCCAGCCAACATCGTGGTAACACATCACCTGTTTCTGCATCATACCTCAACATAACACTCAACACACTCTCAAACAATTTTCCTGAATTGTTTGCATGTACTATTTAGCAACTTACTCCGTCCCATAATGAAAATAAATGCATTGCATTTGATTACAGCAACTATAATTGAGTCCAACTTGAATTAAAACATTTAAATAATGAAAAAATCAGAACTGCTGCAGGACAGTTCAGTCAAGTACTTGTCTGATCACATACTGCTTTTACTATCTCAGTCTAGAATATACTTCTTTGAAGCTTTAACTCATGCATCTCTTTCCCAAGAACATCCTGAAGGACGGCACTACAGATGGTATCTACTGGTCCCGTGCTACTTAGTCAGCTTAGGCCAGGCAAAATGTACCTGTAGCAAAAGGGGCTCAACAAAGTAAATGAATGCCTTACCAAAGCTCAGCAAGACCTGCAAGAATGAGAAGACCGTTGATCTACAGCTTCCTCATGTTGGGCTTACAAAGCCAAGTAAAACAACATCTCTGTGATGAAACCAATTAGAGTAACTTTCACACGTGCACTAAACATCTGTCTTAAACACTCAATAAATGTAACTAAGCACTAAATACTAATACTAAAAATCCATTTCATCTCTGAATTGTTTTGGTTATCAGTGCACGACAGCACATGGCAAAGAACCGTGCTACAACAAACAACCTACACAGAAGTGGAGATTTTTTAAATCCAGATACTATCAATACTCATGTTTCTCCTTTCTCTTCTTTTTTTTTTCCTTTTAATACTGATTTTTCCAGTAAGGCTATTCATAACGCAGGTACTTAAACATTTGCAGGAACTAGACCAAAGCCTCAAAACTGAACCCCATGAAACCGCTTAGAAATTAAATGAGATTTTAATGAAGTTTTTATTTGCACAACTAAGTTTCTGTTGAAGGAACCGTTAAAAGAATTAAGACATCCCCTTATCTTCTTAAGCAAAATAGGAACCACTGTACCTAGTTGAGGATGACGTGATCACTTCTGCAGTGATCCTTACACATAACTCCATTTAACACCTTTTCAACTACAGGAGTGCAACAGTAGGTTTGACAAATTTTGAACTAGGTTTGGGGTTTTTTTTGCTCCCCTCTGTTAGTCTACACGATACTGAGCATTTTTGCATACCTACATTCACTGCCTCGTGCACTAGTAAGAAACAGTTCTCAGCCATTTACTTCATTTCCATCAGCAATCAGCAAGAAAGCATAGGCAGAATTCCATTCATATCTCATCCTAATTTTCACCTTTATACCCTGTTACATACACCTCATAGACTCATTTTTACCTCGCATTCCTGCCACAGTATGGTCCTTTCACTAGCACTTGAAGTATTACTGATGAGATAAAAGCACTTGAAGTAGGAAGGAAGCAAAGTCCTTCGTCTAGTCCCCAAACACAATACTATTGTGAGAATTTCTGAATTCAGTTTTCTCATCTTAATAAACTTTTAGAGCAGATTTAAAAAGCACACTTAAAAAGAAAGCTACCTCTTTAACAAAGAGATAACGTATTCCTTTAGCTGTGTAAAAGGAACAATTAACTAACATTACTGGAAGAATCCTACCTGCAGATTTTTAAAATTAAATTTCAATACAACTGCTTCATCTTTTAGAAGCAACATAAGAAGCTCAGCTAAACGATTGCCAGGTGCCTTCCTAGCACTTCTGGAACTAAGAGGCTGGCTTCAGAGGAAACATACTGGAAAGGATATATGGGAACCTATATTAATTGTCATCACAGACTATGAGGAATACATCCCTCGGCTTTCTTTAGAGCTTAATGAAGCAAAAGACCTGGAGCAGACTTGCTCAGAAGCTGACAGGATCAGCAAAGATTGGGCTGCAATGAGTTCAAAGCATGCAACACTGGACATCTAAGAAGTTTCACTCTTTGAAACTAGACAAGATATGCCCAAATGTCTTACCTTTACCTTTTATTTATTTATATCTGCTCTAGTAGAAGTAGAACTTCAATACCATTCTGCAAGCAATGATATGAATACCTTTGGTTTATCAATCATCTCAACTGATGACCGAAAAAATACATTACGAAAGGGAGAAGACTTGACGTATCCCTGATAAAAACAGCTATAGAGAAGCAATGCCCCCTTCAATGCCAACAGGGAGATTATCGATTACTTAGCACTCTCCCCCCTCAGCATCCCCAAATTCACCACTGAAGTGAACACCTGCACTGACTATGAATCTGCCCATTGATTTTTTTCAAAGTAGGTTCATTTGCACTGTAGTGAACAAGGCACAGAAAAGCTTGTAAGGCCAAGGTCCCTGTCAATCAGCATAAAACACTATATTAAGAAGATGCTGAACAATACATAAAAGGGAATAAAACGGAGACATTAGTAACAAGACATAGTGCATAGCAAATCCCTTTTTACTTCCCTGCCACCCAAAACGACACGCTGTGGACTGGCCCCACTACCCACCGGGCACAAATTCCAGGGACAGCGCCCTCATTTACCAACCAATTCGATAGACAACCGGCGCCAGGTCTTACTTTTGGCTGGGAAGGTTACCGGCTGCGTTGGGCTCGGCTATCATTTCCGCCACATTATTTCAGCAGCGCAGACAGCAGGCTAACCTGACCAGCTTCTGAGGGAACTTCACCAGGACCGGTAGCGTTAAAAGCTTAACAGAGCTTCGGCTCTAGCGGGCGAAACAGCAGCCAAAAACTGTCAAGAAAAGAAAACAGAAAGGGTTCGTTCTAGGTAGTCCCCCTAAAATCAAGTCAGAAAGTCCCCCGCAAAACCAAGGCGCAGAAAGGGGACGCGACTTTGCGAAAGAAATTAATTCGAAGAGGCGAATTCGGAGGCGGGATCGCCGCACCTGGCAGGAGCCCCGACGAGGCAGCGCGT